TGTGTATTCAAAATGGCTAGGATAGATATAGAGTTACATTCTCTTAATGAATAGAGTGATTTGTTCTAATGGTGTTTGTAAATAGGATATCATGTCCACATCTTGTACAGCAAATAACCACTAGGAAGACAGTATGCAATGTGTTAATTATTGAAACTGTCCTACCAATTTGATTTGAAACTGTCTCATTGCTATTTGTCTCTCAATAAAGTTATGGAAAAACAAAGATTGTTGACAATATAATGACTGACATTTTTAAAGGCTTAATTTTTTTCAATAGTGAATACAATCTGATAATATTTTCCCATTTTAGGAGCTTTAGTCAACAAACAGTATCGATACTTAATAATTCACTGACAGTAGAACACCTTAAAAGGTACTCATTAAAATATTTTTTCTATAATTTTTTAACCAGGCACAGTGGTACACACTGAGGCAGGAGGCCCACAAGATGTAGTTGAGCCTGGCTGAAGGAAGCCCTGTCTCAAAATGCAAAGATAAAAGGGCTGGAAGCTGCACGGTGGAGCTCCCCAGTTCAACCCCTAGCCCTGCAAATAAGCGAATCCACTAAAATTTATCAAGACAAAGGTGCTGCCCTGAGCCTTTATTATTTTTCTGTTTATAGCTAGATCATGTGTTTCCTTTTGCTCTTAATCCTACTCATGTAGGAAGTACACAACAGCAAGGGCGTTGTTAGCTGTGAATTGCTAACTATAAAACCAGCAAGATGCAGGAGTACACAGGCTGGGCCACGGACTGCACCTAAACGTCTCAAGAGTTTAGCTCTTTGTTACCTGTTGGCCAGAATAAAATGAGAATACATTATGCGCTCTTATGATACAGAGCTCGAGGTAAACTGGGCATGCGGCTCATACCTGCCACCGCAGCACTTAGGAGGCTGAGGCCTGCCTCAAAAAAGAAATATGTGGGGTGTGTGTGTGTGTGTGTGTGTGTGTGTGTGTGTAAGGAAGTAAAGGGTTCTATTCTGAATTCTGAAGGGAATTTATATTATGAAGTTCTAAAATTATAAAAAAGGGTGATAAAGGAATTCTATACTTGTAAGTTTTGCTTGCCTACATTTAATAAAAAAGCATCTAGTAAGTTAGGAATAGGGGTTCAATAAACCTAATATTAAGGGCAAAACACTTGTAACAAAAGCAATATACAAGTTTCATTGCTCTTTAGAAAGGCCAATTTAGAAATTTATATGAGGGATGCATTGTCTAAAATTCTAAAACCTGAATTAACTCAGAAGGGCCAGGGAGATAGCTCAGAAGCGTAAGCACCTGCCTGGCAAGTGCAAGGACCCAAGTTCAATCCCCAGTACTGCATGCCATGCAGGTCCCAGAACCCCAGATGCACTGTGCTGGCCCCCAAACCAGGCATGGTGGTGCATACCTGGAATCCTAGCACTGGGGAGGCTGAGACAGGAGGATCACTACGAGTTTGAGCTGCATGCAGCAAGACCCTGGATCAAAAAAATAAAATAGTAATGAAAACTGGTTGTGCTAATTGTGGAGGGGAAAAGTGATAAAAGATAAACTGAAAGAATATAGTAAGTTGTAGAAAGATTAAAATAAAATGAATATTGTTTGTCTTAGCTCAATCAGATCACTCAGAAGATTTCTAACAAGCCTAAATCCTCTCCACACTGCGTGACTAAGGACTGGTTTATTCTTTGTGATACAACACCACCCATATTAATGACAGAACCTGCGTCCAGGGTACGGCTCGAGTGCAGTTCTTCCGCATGATTATTAGATAGTAAAGACTGACATTCTCTAGAATTCAAGAAATTGCTACAGTTCCCAAGCCTGGGTGGGTGAAGACTCCACAGACACTTCCAAACTGCTTGGAAGGAAGACTGTGAGATCACAGACGGGCTTCTCGTCGACCACCAGAACCATGTTTCTGCGAGCGTGGCAGCGTGAGGCTGTGCCCAGGCCGTGGCCCTAGTGACACGGAGCATACTGTGTGACGCATGCCGCCCAACTCCGGGCGTGACAATCCAGAGGGACTCTTAGTGCAGACTGGGTAATTCCTGAATTACACTTGCTTGTCTCAGGGTATTCAAACCCTAAGGTCCAGAGTTTTAAGTCAGTGCCCAGCAGATGATTTCATAGAATTCACGGATTAAAAATAGAACCACATAATGATTGGTGCACACTGACATCACCAGAAAGGCCAGGCATGGTGGCGCGAGCCTGTCATCCTAGCACTCGAGAGGCTGAGGCAAGAGAATCACTGTGAGTTTGAGAGCAGCCTGGGCTACGAAGTGAGCTCGAGGTCAGCTGAACTGCACAGCAAGGCCCTGTCTCAGAAAGACAGGGAAAAAAAAAGCAAATCTCAGCAGAAAGGAGGCTTGTAAAGACACAACACCGTGTCCTTGTTCACCTTGTTCACCAGATCTGACACCACGCGGCTTCGAGTTCCTCCCCAAAGTCAAAATGACCAGGAAAGGGAATGTTCTGAACGGATTCAGGACATTAAAGAAGCCAGGACAGCACAGCTAGGGACCCTGAGGAGAGGACGCCAGAGCTGCTGCAGGACGTGGCCGGGATGTGGGACGGATGTGTTCTGAGCTGGGGGAGGATTCTGAGGAGTTCATGGCAATGTGTCTTTTACTGTAAATTGTCTTAAAATTTAAATATTCACCATATAAATTGGACATCAACAACCCCAACATCCATTACCAATTAAAGCATGTATTCTTTAACTTCCAACTTTTTTCCTGCAAATAATATACTCAGACTCTCTTGTCTGCGAATTAAGTTTTGGCAGTGGCAGAAACATGCTGCTGCACCCAGGACTGACTCACACACGACCGAAAGAAGGATCCTAGCACCCCATTCGAAAGTCACACGCTGGGCAGCTACCACAAGGCAGGAGCCCCGCGCACGCTGGCACCTGAGCACGCTACCTCAGTCAGCTCCAGAGCTCGGTTGTAGCCCAGGGAGCACAGCGTCACCCAGAGGTCTCGGGGGTCTCCTTCGCGGTCGTTGGCTTCCATGAGGTGCAAGTCCATAAATCCTTGTCTGGTCAATTCATTCTCCTTCATCTCAAAATTCTCTGTTAAAAGAACCCAAACTTTCTTCTTTAGATAATTTAGAAATTCAGGAATGTGATAAAATGCCAGTGACACTTACCCTTCACTCACACGCGCCTGTCCGAGGGGAGGCCTGCACGTCTGCGCGTCCGCGTGGGAAGGCGAGGCTCGCAGCGTACCACAGCCCGCCTCAGGCTCCACCTGAGTTTGTCCAACAAATCCTCTCTAAAAACTTGTTTTGCAACCAAGTTTGAAGCTATGTATAGTGCAAGCATATTCCAAAATGAGAGGAAATTATAATTTTTTGGGCAAATTTCAACCTGCCTACTCATTTTGAACATGCACTGATATTTCAAAACCTAAAATGTTTCACTGATACTTCAAAACCTAAAATTATATATATATATCTATATCTGTCCCTTAAGCCCAGTAGAGCTTGGATGAAGCTCTACTTGATACTATACCTTTCAAACTACTGTTTCTGAAAGGGAGACACAGATAGCGTCCAGCTTAAGGACAGCACCATAGGCCTCACACTTCCCATTTTAACAAACTGGGCCCTGGTCCTTGAAAGACTGCTACATAGTGGGCGACTCTATTTTCCTTATTTAAGTATCTCCATTTTAACTCTATCTGTGATAAAGCTAAATCCATCAGAAATACTGTAACTCGCAATTCCTCAATTTGTGTGCAACATGTCCATTTGTCTTCTACATCATATCTGCACCACACTATGTACAGATAATAATCTGCCATCTCACAGGTGACATTTCAGTGCGTGCTTCTATAATAAGGGTAGGATTTCCCAAACTCTAATATGCTCAAAAGATATAGGTGGGGTTTTTGTGGTTTTTTAAGACAAGGTCCCCCTGGGTAGCCCTGGCTGGCCTCAGGGTCAGTGATCCTCCTGCCTCCGCCTCCTGAGTGCTGCAATGACAGGTGTGCACCGCCACGCCTGGCTGAAATGGCCGTTCTTACACCAGCACCTCTTTTGTTCGTATTATCATGAGAGAAGCAGGCGAGAGGCACTGTCTGCACCTGGCTGACGGATCAACCTTGTAGAATGTTTAGCGGGGAAGTGACTAGCGATGTTTACAAGGAAAAAGATGTCTTCAGATGAAATCGGGTGATGGAGTGAAATGGTAGGCCCTAAAGCACAGGTTGGGGCTAATGTGTAGCAATGTGAGGTGAGAGGCATATTTATGATACAAGAAGTGACTAAAGAAAAACATGTCTTGATACAGTACTAGAGAGACCAGCATAACTCATAGACTTCTGCGGTTTTTATTGGTTATCTGAGAACGGGTCTCACTGTGCAGTGTAGACCGGCATTGAACTCATTATGGAGCCCAGGCCGGCCTTGAACTGGTGGCAGTCCTGAATCTAACCGACTTTTAACCCTGAAATTCATCATGCTTATTAATTTTTAAAAGCTGGTTAGCCCCTGATATAAGACTTACTGTGAAGCTACAGGCGTAAGAGGACCTTGCTGAGAACCTGACAAGCAGATAGGGGAGTGGGATGAGGAGCCCAGAGGGGGTGTGGCTGCCTTTGGAAGCTGGTGCCGAGCCAACCGCGCCCTGCGCACAAGTCCACACACCCAGACCTCATCCCTTGCACAAGGTCAGCTCCAAATGGTCAGAGCACAGACACAAAACACAGAACTATGAAACTTTGAGAGGGCAAGGCAGGAGGTAATCCAGGCAACCTTGGGTGGTGACAAGGCTTTAGACACAGCATCAAAAACACGCAGACCAGGCCGGTCAAATAGCTCAGCGCATCAAAGCACCTGCTCAGGTAGAGCACAGCGGGACCCAGCCCCCCACCCCGAGCATGCCGACCCCAGCCCCTCCCCGGAGCGTGCCGACCCCAGCCCCGGAGCACGCTGACCCCAGCCCCGGAGCACGCTGAGACCAAGACTGAGACCAGGCATGGTGGGGTGTGCCTGTAATTCCAGCACTTGGGAGGCTCAACACAGGTGGACTGCTAGGAGTTCGATCTATGTAGTGAGACCCTGTAAATCCTGTAGACCCTTACTAAGATACAAAAACAGAAACAAAAAACCCATGCAAACCAAAACCACAACCCACGAAAGACTCCGGAGAGACTCCGCTGCAATGAGAAGCGCCTGCGCAGAGGGAATGGGGCTGTGGAAAAAACCATGAGCTGCGGCCTGGGAGAAAACCCACATCTCATAAACCGCAGCTCATAAACTACTTGTTTTCATGGAACACAGGGAGCTCATAAAATACAACAGTACTAAAACAAATGCCCCAGACAAATGGGCCAAAGATCTGGTCAGGTACTTCGCCGAAGAAGACAGCTGCACGGGCCGCAGGAGACGAGAAGCCCATCACGAGGGCTGGCTCCAAGAGAGCACTGCACCATGTGCCTCGGCACCTACTGCTCAGGCTTCAAGCTCATTCAATTATTTAAGCTTTCCATTAAAAAGAAACAATACTAACAAGCCCCCTTCACAGGGAGGAGACTACCTCCCCGCTGCTAGGATTCCTATTTTCTCTGACCTTCAGTCTTACACCACTTGAGAATAACAAGGAAAGTCTCAGGAAATAAATGTGTACAGGTCTGGGATCTTACAAACAATGCTGCTACCTTGAACTGTCCCAAGCACACAGTCCCACTCCACGGATAGGTCTGATTCCCCCCCCTGCGAGCAATAAAGACACCGCCCTGCCTGCCTGGCCCACCTCTGCACAGAAGCCAGGCCTCCTCGTCACACTTCTCGCCGCTTGTTCTCAGCTCGAAGAAGTTGTACTCCTCCAGGCTGAGGAGGCTGTTTCCGTCCAAGTCCGTCATGTCGAACACGTCTGAGAGAGCTGCCCTGACGTTATAAAAATAGAAAGCTGTTTCTTGCTTTTCAGACAACTGGACTGAAGGTTTTTATAATGACAAACTCAAAAGCGGCACTCCCCCAGCACAAGGCAATTTTTGTGAACTACTGTGTGCCCCGGCAGTTCTGCTGGGCCGAGGACTAGATCAGTGGGCTTGTAAGCAGCCCCCTCTCTCAGCTTGGGGGAGCCGGCGAAGGCGCTGGCCGCCCTCCTTCCCACCCGCAATCTGCTTCTGCAGTCTGTGTCTGCAGCCAGCTCCTCCTGTGTCCAGGCTCAGCTCTGGATTTGGATTGACAGCTACCCCAGCGCTGAGTGCACCAGCCAGGCCTATGGCGAGCCAGGCTGGGCCAGGAGGTGAAAGAGTGGAGTGCGGGGTGCAGGCAGGGTGGCTTTCAAATGCTCTGCACAGACTGGGGTGCAAGATTTCGGAAGTCAGCAGACAGCTGCGTGCCGTGGCCCTCCTTTCCATACTGTCTTCGTGGTGAGAACACTCAGCGCATGCTCTTCGGCCTTCAGTGACTTTCCGGTTTCCAGCACACTGGAAACTGCAGCCACCACCTGCAGTACACACCCGTGGCCCCTTGCCTGACAGGAGCCCCCCATGCTCCTCGCCCCTGCTGTGTCTGCCACTTCAGCCTTTGGGGCTCCCCATCCACTGGCTGGGGGCTACGTCGCAAGCCACCACCTCCGGGCACCGTCATCGGGTTCGCGGCGCTGGCAGCGACCAGGAACAGGCGGGCACTGCCAGGACAGAGCCGCTGCTAGCTGCGCCAGGGCCGGGGCTGTGGCCCTGCTCCATAAACCAACCTACCTAAATGCTTGCGTAAGAAATAATTCGCCACTTTGGTCTCTGCATACAAGCTGGGCTTCCTCTGTTACTGGTTTTCTCTCTTTCTTCAGCCGGCAGCCCGTGGTGGAAGGAATTAGCCAGTAAACGCCAGGGCCCAGCTCACCGGTCCACCCGAACACCTTTCCTCATGAGAACCAAACAAAGCAAAGACAGCCCTGAGTCATAGACACTCATGGTCATTCTCCCAAAAGGGAGGGACGACAGACCATTCCTAAAGTCAACGTTCAGCGATTCACTATCGTTTTGGCAGTCTTTTACAGGCTTCCAATCCATTTTCTTAGTGGGAAGCCGGCCTAGGATTGTTAGATGTAATTCTTCCTACATTTTTAATATTTCCTCAGCAAGGTGCGCTTGCACCTGGAAGGCTGAGGAGGGGGATCCCAAGATCAAGCCTTCCTGGGCAACTCAGCAACTTACATCCTAGAAACAAAACAATAAAAAGTTTTAAAAGTGCTGGGAGGGCTGGGGAGATTGCTTGGCAGTCTAAGCACCTGCCTAACAAGCACAAGGACCCGAGTTCAATCCTCGGTCCCCCAGAAACTGGCCAGCCACCGAAACCGGGCGTGGTGGTGCGTGCCTGTAATCCCAGGGCAGGGAAGGCCGAGACAGGAGGATCACTAGAGTCTGGGCTGTGTAGCAAGACCCTGTACCAAATAAAGAAATAAACAAAAGATTTTTTTTAAATAATAAAAAAAAAAAAAGTGGGGCCGGGGAGATGGCTCAGTGGAATAAGCACTTCCCTGGCAAGTGCAAGGGACTGAGTTCAATCCCCAGTTCCGCCAAAAGAACAACAAAAAAAAAAAAACCAACAACAAAAAATAAAAGTCTGGGAGTGTAGTTCAGTGCAAAGGCCCTGGGTGTCTATGCTACAAAAAACAAAGCAAAACAAAAACCTAACACTTTTTTTTATTTTTGTGGTACCGGGGATTGAACTCAGGTTTTTGCGCTTGCCATGCAAGCGCTTATTCTACTGAGCCATCTTCCCAGCTCTAAAATTTTAGTAAGATTATATATGTCCTACATTTTCCCCAATAACCTTAAAAAATATTTGTTATGTTCAAAAGTAATAATATTCTAGGTTAATAATATTACAGGTTACAGTTGTCTACTTGAACTATAAATATACTTGTCACTCAGATTTCAATGATGCAAAGTAAAAATTAAGTATGTTTTAAGGAGAGAAGAACAGGACACAAAAGAATTAAGATGTGCTTTGTAGGTGTACAAATTGCCAATGATGAATACTATGATTATGCAAACACAGAATAATTTAAAACAATGAAAAAAGTTGCAGAATTATGGAAAAAATACTTTTAAATTAAGAGTTCATTATTTGTATGAATTCGACCTACTGCTAAGAGCCCAGTTATATGCACTGGAATTTTATTTTTATATAACATGGAGTCTAAGAGCAAGATGCAGAACCTGCCTTCCATGGAAGTCACTTCTGACGAAGAGCTGGACACTCGTGATGAGTGGCAGATTTACACAGGAAGGCATTTTACTGTCCTTGAAGAGAGCAAGTGCTCTCCCTGTGTGGCCACCAGGGCTTTGCTGGTGCCCCAGTGATTCCTATAAAGACAGGGGGTCGTTTGTCACATACCTCACGTCCACCTGTTCTCTGGGCATGTCTGATGGCTAGCACGCTACCTGTCTTCCACATGGACACCTAAGGGAAGCCTGTCACGTACTGTGCCAACATGCCCCGCAAGGCCTGGGCACACTGGAGGCTGCCCTGCCAGCTCGCGGGCAGAATCAACGTGCTCACGGGAATTCTGGGTCCAGTCGTACCTGCTCCCTCGAGTCGGGGGAGTGCTCATCATCCTAAGGCCACCTGCCCTGTTCTGGCACAAGGAACAACCCAGGGGAACTGAAGGTCATTCTGAAGGTGACACCTCTACCCTCCACCATCTGGAAGTCCTGGTCTTCTAGACCAGCTGGACGCAGCTGGACGCCAGAGTGTGCATCTCCACCCTGCACTCCTAGCACGTGTGAGCTCATGAGCCTCCCCGCTTCCGTCCTACAGCCTTGACTTGCTCTGGCGACGGCAAAGGGGAGGTTTCCATAGGCGCTAAACTCTTCTTAAAGAAAATAACTGTGAAACTAAAAATACAAAGAAAATGTCCTGGGGCTGGTGAGATGGCTCAGTGGTCTAAAGCACCTACTTAGAACAAGCTAAGCAAAGCACAGGGACCGCGGTTCAATCCCCCAGCACCACATGCCAGCCAGCCCTGCCCCCTGGTGGGCTGAGCTGGCCACATACAGACATTAAATAAATAAATAAATAAATAAATAAATATTTAAATAAATATTTTAAAAAAAAAAAGAAAATGTCCTTTGTAAATGTAAGGTCCTTTTTTTTATTTTGTGGTACCAGGGATTGAACTCAGGACCCTGTGCTTGCCAGGCAAGCCCTTATTCTACTGAGCTATCTCCCCGGCCCTGTAAACGTAAGGTAACAGGCAAACAGAAGCCCAAAGAGTGGAGGCAAACAGTCTTAAACCCTCTTCCAGCTTTGCTATACACTTGTCTCCACTTACTCAGTTTCACCAGAAAGTCATTTTACCTAAGACAAAATGGGAAAGCTATTGCTTTATATAATGCTTTATTCCAAACTTAACTTTGTGGCGGGTTCTGAGCAAGAGTTTGTTCACAGCATTAACATCTGCCGTTTCGTTCGCTTCTTGCCTATAACCATTGTCTGTTAGAAAGCCTACAGTGAAGACTTACACAACCTTCCATCAGGGAAATGTTTGTCTGCTGTTGGGCCGACATAGAGATTAAATATGGTATTGCAGGAAGCCCTTGCATAGTATTCTTCGGTTGTTGTGTAGCAGGTGCATTTTGTAGTCTTCATAAAATAAATAGCCACATTTATGTTTGCTTCGCATATTTGGTCTGAGTAAATGTATAATTAGAAAGGATCAGAACAACCCCAAGGAAAACATACAAAAACATTTAAAAGCATTTCTCCACAGCAGTCTATTGCTGAGCCTGATAACATGAGCCAAGCCTGAGGACAGGAATGAAGTTTTTCTGTCCAGCAGGAGAAGTGGGAGTTGAAAGGCTCCCTGAAAGGCTGGAGCTGCCTGTATGTTGGGGGAATCAGGGGCATGAGTCTCTTCTACTGAGCACAAAGAACCGCTCACATGTGAGGTAGCAGGGCCTTTCGAGATGAAGAAAGCAGAATACAGCGTCAGAGCTTCGGAGTGAGGAGGCTGAGGCCCTGCCGCCTGTCCCCGCCTGCCATGGGTCTCAGCAGGCGGGACAGCCTTCCACAGCTGAGGAGCGTGCACACGCCCTACAGACTTAAGTACTTATTTATTTATCATTATTATTTATTTATTTATTTTTTGCGGAACCGGGGATTGAACTCAGGCCCCCCACTGAGCCGTCTCCCCGGCCGCTTAGGTACTATGTATACCTCACCTGGAAGGAAGAAGATGAGTTTGAAAACAGAAGAAAACAAAAAGAAAAATAATTATCTTTCTCAACTATACTTTGAGGAACTAGTTGAGTTCATGCTGTATTTTAAAATTAAATATTAGAAAATGAGTATACTTCTCTGTTTTGCAGTTCAGTAAGACATATGAGCTGGAAGTCTGCTTGATTCTCATTTTCCTTAAGAATATACAGTGCAGTATCAACTGATAACCAAGGGGACACTTTTCCTATAAATGAAAAACAAGAAAACAAGTCCAAATGCCTTAAAAGAAGCATTTACTACTTTCTTTTTACTATTTAAGGTTAGTGGTTTTTCCTTTCTTGATTTTTTAAAGAAATACACATGTTATTTTTATATACAAACACCTGCATATTTGCAATAAATCACATACTGTTTCAATGACTGCATGAGAAACATTTTCTTCCACACTTTTAAAACTTACATTGAACTCATCCAAAATTCCAGAGCAACTGAACAGCCTGAAATCTGAGGAGATGGAGCCCTCAGGGGAGAGGTGAGCTGGGGCGCAGGCCGGCCTTCAGAGAAGGCGCCGCCCGTCTCTTGGCTCTTTCGTGACACACCACTTGGAGTGTGCCTGCCAGCCCAGAGTTCTGCCGCAGCCTGCAGGGTGGACTCTGCCTGCGTCTGAGTAACCCTGAGGCCCTGTGTCTCACTGGTCACACTGACTGCTTCAGGGAAGACGGGCAGACCCGTCCCTGCTCTAGAGGGGACCTGGGCGTATCCAGTCCCCACCATGGAGGCCCAATGCCTTCCACTTTTCTAGGGTGGGAAGCCACTAACACCAAGAAAAGGGAGTTGGACTTCGGCACAGCCTTTCTGAATGCGTCAGAGCCGAGGTCACAGCCAGGTCCCCAAGGAGAGAGGGGCCAGAACCTGGTTGGGCACTATGCCCAGCAGGCAGGCAGGGAGGATGGGTGGTGCCACGCAATGAGGGAGAGGGCAAACCCCCGGGGAAAGAAAAGGGAGAGGATTCTCTAACAACACTGAAAGACGAAAGCCACCGATGTCAGAAGCCCGGAGAACCCCTGGTAAGGTGGAAGCCACGACAACACGCCCACCAACAGAACAGCATCAACAGCAAGAACAACACCCTGGAGACACACATCCAGACTGCTCAGAAACCAAAAGTAAAGAGATAACCTCACCTCCTGCAGGGCAGTGTCGCGCTCTGGGAAGAGCTGGCACCACTGCGCTGGTGGCTCTCCCGGGCCGTCCTGCCCTGCCTCCCGGGAAGGAAGCAGACGGGCTGGCCCTGGCCCCGGCCCCGGCCCTGCACTGGGACTCTGCCCCTCCCTCTGAAGGCCAAGTCTACTCCCCACCCTGGGGACCTGGACTTGTGCTAACTCTTGTCAGGAGGCATCAGAAGCCAACTGTGCCTGCTCAGGCCTGTGCCTTGGGACACCACACCCCCCGGGAGAACAGGTAAGAGACTGGAGGGTGGGAGATGCCGGGGCCAGGGGCAAGCTGTCCTGCAAGGACAGAAGGACCGCCAGCCCAGCTCAGCGGAAATGGGCCGGCAGCAGCACACCTAAGAGGTACAGATGGGTTTCAAGGCACGGCTGGGGTGGTGCTCTGCAGCAGCTGATGACTGATACATCCCTTGTAAACCACATGCATGTGACCTCGTAGTGCAACAGGCCCCACTGACCCCAGGGGCAGCAAGCCACCCCACCCGGCTCGAGCCCCTGCCCCTCGGCTTTTCCTCAGCACTAGGACTTCCTAACATACCCACCCTTTACTCCTCATTACGTTTATTACTGACTGTTCCCTCACTGAAATGACTTATAGGCACTGCTGTCCTTCACACTGCATAGTCGAAGCACCTAGATGACCTTTGGCTCACAAGACTCTAAGTGCCTATTCACAAGAACACAGAACACAGAGAAGTAACACTGCAGTTCTACAGCCACCCTGATCCTTTCCTGAAAAATGCCTCCTGCAGTCATCATGTAAGAGCACTGATTCAATAACGTCAGTGCCCTAGCAGACATGCAGAGAAAAATGTCAAAACCTCTCCTTTGGGGGAGAGGGAGAATCCTCTAGCAAGGAAATGTTTATATATAAACCTTATAAAGGAGAAAATAGGGGCCGGGGAGGTGGCTCAGTAGAATAAGCACTTGCCTGGCAAGGGCACAGCCCTGAGTTCAATCCCTGGTTCTGCCAAAAAAAAAAAAAAAAAAAAAATACAGATTGATTTAGAACCGCCAACATTAAAAGGCTACGTAGGAAAGGACCATCACAGACACCTTCCACTATCTGGGCACTGAGGCCGGGGAAGGAGTTCATCTTTACTTAAAAGACAGCACTACCATGGATGCAAAGACTGTTAACAAGATTGCTCAGTCATCGGACATGGGCTTTGAGGGATTAACGTGTACCTGCAATTTCATACCCTACATTATGCTCCTGTAGAATTTTTTTTAGATAAATTATATCTTAAAAATAGATAAATGGAAAAAGCTAAGATAATTAGCAAGCAGAACATTTTGCTTTTTCTTTTATTTTTTCCATAATTTTATTGAGAGACAAATAGCAATGAGACAGTTTCAAATCAAATTGGTAGGACAGTTTCAATAATTAACACATTGGCATACTCTCTTCCTAGTGGCTAATTGCTGTACAAGATGTGGACATGATATCCTATCTACAAACCCCATTAGAACAAATCCCTCTATTCATTAAGAGAATGCAACTATATATCTATCCTAACCACTTTGAATACACAGATACAAAATGGACATTCATCTGTATCCCCTTTTTTGCTTAGTTCTGTCATTTGAATATTATAGGTGTGTTAGCTCAGCAAGATAGTCTAAGCTTTTTCTTTTAATGAAACATGCTTGAGGCGAACGTGGAAGGCAAACACCCTGCTCTGCACCTGCCGCCAGGCGACGTGACCTGCGACGTGACGTGACGTGCTGCAGCACGTCCCTCTGCTTCTCGGGCACGTGGCTTTCTTCACCAACAAGGGCCACCAAACACGTACATGTTTCCAAGGAGGGTACAGATAGGTATTTGAAAAACAGAAAATTTGAACTTGCCTTCGACCTGAGTCAGGTTCAGCGGCTTGATTGTTAGGTGAGCCAGAGACCTCTGAGAGATGTGCATCCGGTACTGGTGGCTCACGGTGTCCCCGTCATCCTCTAGGAAGAAGCAGCCTCGGGCCCGCACACAGGGCCAGTCCTGGGAGGGAGGAGACAGGGCTGTCAGCAGCTGTCACTGAGTGTCTCTAGAGTGCAGAACAACGAGGAGGCCTAGGCAGGAATGAGGGAAACGTCAAATACAGTCTTTGCGCTCTAGGAGCCGGCAAGGCAGGAGGTAAAAAGCAGCCACAGCACCCATCAGTTGTACACAGCAGAGATGTGTTCAGTACAAACAGAATTAGGTACACGCAAGCACTGCACCCGGGTCGCTCCAGCGCCTGGCATGCTGCACGTGACCGGCCAACATGCACCGTGTGACTGGCCAGCTGACGACGGGCCATCGGTGAGCTCCAGCATGAAGATCAGGATCGCGCAGCAATGAACTGTCCAGGGAATGCATGTGGAGGGCCAGCCAGAAGAGAGGTGCCTGTGGAGGCGGGAGAAGGACGGAAGCCCAGCGGGGAGTGTCTGCTGCGCCTGCGCAGCACCAGTGTGGGGTCACGCACGGCGAGCAGGAAAAGGGAAGGGCCGAGAGGGAAGGCGTAAGGCCCCGAGGACAAGGATGAGGCACAGCACGCGGAGGAGCGGTCTTAGGTCAGTGACTGCAAGAACGCTGAAGGCAGGTTTCAGCGCTACGCGAGTATGCTCACAGATACGACCAGTTTGCAGGAAGACTCTCCCATAATGGCCTACTATTTCTTGAGCTGGCCAGACCCCTTGCCCTGTCCAGGATCCCTGTGAATGGAGGATCTTCTAACTAAAATTAAGTAAAATCTGAAGACAGTATATTGGGCAGAAAGTGAAGGATTTTGACCAAACTTAAGAGAGGCTGTGCTCTCACCACAGGTAGGTAAAAACACGCTTCTCACTGTGTCTCCAGGAGGCTTGGCTGCCTGAAACGTCAGGCAGGTTTCTGTTCTAGCCAGTGACTTCCAAAGGTGGGCGGAGGCCACGAAGTGGCTTTACAAAGAAATACTCTCGGGCCGGGGAGGTGGCTCAGGGGAATAAACGCTTCCCTGGCAAGCGCAAGGGCCAGAGTTCAATCCCCGGTTCCGCAAAAAAAAGAAATACTCTCAATCTCAAGGCTTTAATAATACTGAAAATTACTCAAGGAGTATAGTATATATTAGTCCTACAATAATATTATAAATATTCTTAATGCATTATAGACTTACATGTACTTTTTAAAACATTAAATTACCCTAACATACTTACACATATTTCTATTAACTCATAATTATTTTACTTAAAAAATTTAAAATTAGAAATTTGAAATAGAAGAGAAGCCCTCTAATTGTATCCCCTACTTTTTATGCAATCCTTTCTAGTACTGACCTTATAGAAGATCCTATTTTTTGCATTCTAAAAAATACCATTTTATGTTTGTTTCAAAAATTTGATATTATATGTAAAATATTTTGTTGTTGAAAAAGAATGAAGTTAGAGCCAGGCATGACAGCATACGCCTGTAATCCCAGCACTCTGGGAGGCTGAGGCAGGAGGATCTCAAGTTTAAGTCCAGGCCTGATGACCTAGCAACTTAGTGAGATCCTGTTACAAAACACAAAAATAAAAAGGGCGGGCAGCTAAGGATGCAGCACGACATAACAGGTCCTGTGGTGGTCCTGCTCAGGACTGAGAGGGCCCAAGCTCCTCGCTGAGAAGTGAGTCCACGAGACACACTGGATAATGCTCAACACTGCTGATCACTCAAGAGGTGCAAATGAAAACAGCACCGAGCCCCACCGCACCCTGGAAAGAACAGAGAGCACCAAAGCGTCAGCCAAATGCCGAGCTGCTGGGGGAGCGGAACCTCCTGCACTCGCGGTGGAGTGCAGGCTGCAGTGCAGACTGTGGACACCAGTGTGCAGAGTCCTCACAAGAGGAGGACCAGAGCTCCGCCTGATCCAGACGTTCCCTTCCTGGTATGTTCCTGGAAGAATTAAAAGCTTCACACCACAGCAATACGTGCACAACTATGTCTGTAGAGGCACAGTCTGTACCAGCCAGATCTTGGAAACAACCCAAATGCCCAGCAACTTGCGAGTGGACAAAGAAGGTGTGGGGTTTTCACACAACGGAGAGCTACTCTGCTCTAAAGAAGGACATGCTCCAGCCATTTCTAGGAAAGCGGATGCATCTTGACTCCACACACTAAGTGAAGTAAACTGCACACACGCGTGTTAATACCAGAACGGATCTGGACCACAATGTGTAATGGGCACTGTGACTAGCAAGGCTGTGTGCGAACGGGGAGGGCAGCAAGGGCAGGGCATGAGGAAAGGAAAGAAGGGCATGGAAACGGGAGAACGGAAGGAAGACGGAAGCAAAGCTTTGTAAATGGGGAGGAGAGGAGTGGCTGGAAGGAAGGGGGACAGGAGAGAAAACAGCGCGATCACGGGCAGGTACAAATCCTCTAGGACAAACATGATCACTGTGTGTATCGCAAATGGACCAATAAGATCCAACTGAAAACTCAGTAAGTGAAAAAATGAAGCATTCAGCACATACAGTATTCTGCACATTTTATAAAGCTCAAGTGTTTGATAGTACAATTCGGCAGTGCAACAATTTCTGTCCTGCTTTGAATTTCTCTTCTTGCCACTTGTGAGGCTGTTCTGCCCACGTTAGGTTTTTGCTTCTTTTTGTGTGAGTGAACTGCCAGATCATCTCTTATTTTCCTCTGTGTTACAGCCTTGGCATTTTTCTTACATATTTTAGTAAGTTCATTTGACTATTTTAGATATCACCCGCCGTCACGGTTTGGGTCTAGATGCCCCCCAAAGGCTCATGAAGTTCTGGGGGAAAGGCTTCTCAGAGGGGGCTGACGCTAGAGTTTTGATTGATTCATGCCCCATGCTGGGATTGTGGATGTGAACGCTATACCTGCCCTAGAGCAGGGAGCCTACATACAACTTAAGGGACAGAAAGAGGCATGTGCCTTCCCTTGTTGCTTTTGCTGTCTTCTGCCGCCGTGAACTTCTGCTCTTCTGGATCTCTTGGAGCCAGAGACTGTGGACTGAAACCTCTAAAAATAGCTAAATAAACCTGTGCTCCTTGACTTTGGGCGTCAGGTGGTTTGCCTTAACAATGAGAAAAAAGGGGCCGGAGAGATGGCTCAGTGGGATTAACGCTTCCCTAGCAAGAGCAATGGCCTGAGTTCAATCCCCGGTCTCCTGCGTAGCCTTCAAACAGGTCGGAGAGAATCCCATTAAACAATGAGAGAAAAGCAACAAAGACACCCACACTCTTTGTACGCTTTGAGGGATGTACCGTCTCCATTTGTTACTTTCGGTTATAGTTTATGTAAGCTTTTCAGGCTTATTTTTTAATCTTTCTTTTGAGATCGCAGCTCACTCTTGTTTAAGAGAAATGGGGGGGAAAAAGCCCTTTCTTGTATATTGATATTGAAGGCAATTTATTTCATTGAGAAACTCAAAAATGGAAGAGCTTTTCCGTGGGTGTCAGCACTTTTCAGGGCAATGCCATGGGCTGATAGGAGATGGTTCTATAAAACCTAGTTAGGGAGCAGGGGTTTGACGTGCTGGAGACTCTCCTACGTTTCAATTCTTCAAAAGCACACTGCGACAGGAGGGAGCGACCACCCTGCTTGATGGCACACTGCACCCGGGTGCCTAAGGCTGGAAAGGGGCAGAGCCGTGGCCCTCGACTGGGAGAACGTGCAGCCGCTCTTAGGACGGAGACATTTGCTTCCTTGAGGCGTGCCAGAGTTACCAAGCACACAACACGCACACAGATGAATATTGCCTTTAAAACACATAGACTTTCAATTACATAAAGACTTTACCCCTGGAGCTAGACTACAATCGTGTGAATTACAAGAAAAAACTATTGATATATTAGCTGGATCATTCGAATAAATAAATTGGAAAGGATTATATGTTAAATTGACAGTTTGAGTATTATGAGAAAAATGGAAGTTTAAAAAATTTTAGAATGACAGAGTAAGAAATTCTATGCATGATGGAATTCTTTGACACCAAAACAGAAATAAAAATAATAGCTTGTAATTCTTATCTAGGGCATGAGGTGGTGCTGTGCTCTGCCAATTTGTGTACAGTCCTTCAGCCCCATACAAGAGACTGCTGCTTCCTTTATCTATCATACACACATTTTACTTATTTTCATTTGTAATATATAAAGAAATGTTGAAAGCATAAATGAAAAATAATGAAGCAGAAAACAACTATAAAACAAATGTATCAGTTAAATTACAGCTTTCTTTTTTTAAAATTTGATTTATTTGTGTGTGCGTGTGTGGCCAGCTCAGCCCACCAGGGGGCGGGGCTGGCTGGCATGTGGTGCTGGGGGATCGAACCGCGGTCCCTGTGCTTTGCTGAGCTTGTTCCAAGTAGGTGCTTTAGACCACTGAGCCATCTCACCAGCCCCATAATTACAGCTTTCTTGGCTCACTGTAATGAACATGGTTTAATCTGACAAATTCTGTATTACTACAACATTAGGTGGCGCCGGGTTAGCAAGCAACCGATCTGATGGTTTCAGTCAGAGGATGAACTACAGCAACACTGTCGTTTTTTAATAAGGATATCCCCTATCACTTACTAGGAAGCTATTTGTTTTTAGTATGTTAAGACAAGTAGGAAGGTAAAGACAGTTATTGAACTTTTTGTTATTAAAGAATATTTTTAAAGTAAAAATTTGAATAGATGACTTACAAAGGGAGAACTTGTCACAGATTGTTTCCTAAACATTTTTAAAAAGAAACTGTATGGAGCTTTTACAAAAATTCACAGTGAATCACTGAGATGGAAAATTTATATTACACAGATGTAACATACACACGGTGCGCAGCCCTGTACATGGTACACGTATGTCATATGACGCGGGCTGTGTGTAGGCCTTGCATGCGTGCCGGCTGGTGTATGTACACAGACGTTCATGACGCGGTAAGAACAGCGTCTGCATTGCTCTGCGTGCTCACAGCACACCTACTCATGCGCGCACATGCGTCTGTGGTGTGCAGCCTGCTCTAATTTTAGCCATGAGCTGCTTTAGCAAGGAACTTGGGGCTATTCCTCTCTCAAAGGAAAACTTCCTGACGTTCCTTGAACATTACAGAACTTAAGCAAAAGGGCAGGAACCAGGATTAAAAAAAAAAAAGAGGCACAGCACTTCATTCTGGCCAGCGGGCAGTAACACAGTATAGTCCTGTAAGGCTCCTGTTCTCCTCCCTAACACAAGCCCTGCATGATGGTCTGTGGATTTCTGTGTGGAATCTGGCTACAGGGCTTGATGGTGCACTCCTGTGATCCCAGTTACTGAAAAGGCCGAGACAGGACGACTGCTCGGCTTCCCTTTCCCACCTCTCTTTAAAAGTGAAAAGACGGAGCCAGCGAGATAGCTTAGTGGTCTAAAGCGCCTGCTTAGGCAAGCGTAGGTAAGCACACAGGGACTGTGGTTCGATTCCCAGCACCACATGCTGTGCCAGCCACGAAAAGAAAAGACAAGACCTGGCTGTGGAGACAGCTCTGCAGTCTAAGCACCTGCTGGGCAAGTACAAGGACCCAAGTTCGATCCCCAGCACCACATGCCATGCCAGCCCCTGCCATGCCAGCCTGAGACCGGGCATGGTGGCACATGCCTGCAACCCCAGTGCTGGGGAGGCTGAAACAAGAGGGTCACTACAAGTGTGAGCGAGACCTAGTAACAAACAAACAAATATTTAAAAAATAAATGAAAAGGGGGGCTAGGGAGATGGCTCAGTAGGATAAGCGCTTGATTGGCAAACGCAAGGATCTGAGTTCAATCCCCGGTTCCGCCAAAAAAATAAAAAAATAAATAAATAAATAAATGAAAAGACAAGACAGGACAGCAAGGATAGGGCCGACCCCTGCTTACGCTAGGCCAACGATCCCTACATCCCTGAAGGTTCCACCTCTGTCCCCATTCTGCACTTCTTGATTCCACCCGAATCTGAACCACTCAAACTTGTTTAAAGTAGACTTAAGGAACTGAAGAAAATTGGGTAACCATCTTTTTAGTAACTTACTTAGTGTTCTTATGACCAAATACTTCTCAGAGTGGTTATAACCCTTAGAGAAATATAAAACTGATGAAATTAAACAAAATTACTTCAGAGTAAAATGAAAACAAAGAAACGAATCCTGCTGAATATCAAAAGGGCCACAGACTTCTAAAATGACCGCTTAGCTCAGCTCATCCAAGAAATACCAAATGGTAAACAGCGAGAAACAAACAGAAAAATCAGAAACAGGAAATAAAAGGATAAGACACGCAGGACTAACAAGCATTTCCAAAGGACACTACATTTTATATGAAAATCATGGAATGAAGACGTTGACAACAGGCTAAACTTCTATTTTTTTTTTTTTTTTAAACTGGGGGTTGAACTCAGGCCCTTACGCTTCCCAGGCAAGCGCTTCTTCTACTGAGCCATCTCCCCGGCCCTAACTTTCTATCTTAATCGTCCACTTTTCTTGGTACCTTCTGCCCACTGCCCAGTTAGCACCCCTATAGCCAGCTCGCGACAGCTTCAACGCAGAGGCTAAGTGCTGCTCAGGCCTACGGCTGATTTCCCCGAGACCACAGGCGCGTCACCCAGGCCAAGCCTCGTGGTTCCTCCTCTCTGGAAGCCCACGCCAGTCTCTGGAAGATTCAGTGCCAGAGAAACTGTTGCTAAGCTGCACTTTCATAATGCCACGACTACCTGAAGGCCACCCTCATTTCTTAGATCTACAATAACACTAACAACCCAGTATTTTATTAAGTGCATATTATGTCCCTTGCTACCATACTAAATATTTTATATATACTAAGATGATTTCAGCCTCTCCAAAACATGCGAAATGTAATTATTTCCAACTTACAGAAAAGGAAACCAAAGGGCTGTTGATCAACTTACCCAGGTTTCCCTTGCAGTCATTAAAGGAAAAAGCTCGGGGTGGAGCTTGTCTGTATCATACCTAGCACAATGCTTGCTACGCAGTACTTCAATGCAGAAGGACTTGTTAAAGAAGTGAAATACTATGGTATGTGTTAATAATCAAACGAAAATTTCTATGTTTTAACTCAAGGTTCATATTTTACACTAAATGAAATGGCTGGCATACATTACCTGCTTAGCAATTATCTGGCATCAAATGAATTTTATTGCTATGGTTTCAATTGATAGCACAGAGAAAAAGGGTCATTACGATTTGATATAATCTTTGACTAAAATTATACTTATTTATACTTCTGAATCAGATCATCAATAATTAAGCCAATATTTATACAAAAAGTTTCCATTTGTGGAAGACAAGCTTGCTGGAACACTAACTACTGTGTGAACACGTCGGGCGTGCACGGCAAATCGCTTGGGGTGTGCGGACTCCTAAACAGTCCGAACAAAATTCCTTGGAGATAATGTTTTAAAATTTTAATATAGAACAAATGTCACTGTCTAGCAACTTAGAGATATAAGGGACTTCAGAGTTCAATAACAAATACAGAGTTGTTATTTGAAACAAAAATGTAGCTCTTGAGAACAATCAGTTCAGTTTTCTAACAGCAGTTACAGTGTGTGGTCATAACCATTTTCCCCCTTCTTACTGAGGTCTCTGGGCGCACATTTTTAATGTATCCTAGCAGTTCCAGTTAATGTTTTATATTTCTGTAGCTATTATTTTCTGTTGAAAGAAAACTAGTAAAGGTTGAGTCTAAAAAGGGAAAACAAAGGAAGAAGATCAATATTAACACTCTACAAATATTGACTTAGCAAAGCGACTTTGTCATCTTCCTCTCACAGGAATTGATATTGAATGAATGATTTATTTACCGGAAACACCTGTGGAAAGTGTCAGCTACATAACTGAATAATCTACTCATCAAGTTCAAATATTCAGGAGTCACCATTTTTAAACTAAAGACATTATAATATTCTTCTCATTATTTTTATTTAAAAATACTACAACTGGCTTACACGTAGAAATGCTATGCTCCACAGGAGAGCCCTGCAGAACTTCTTCACGGCACCACTGGTGGGTGCACACATGAAATAGCCATTAATAAACGCAGTATCAGTTTTTTTCAGAAAAAGTCATCTCTGCTAATTTAAAATACTTTTTACCTTTAGATTTGGCTCAATTAATGTGGAGTTTCGGTTACTGTTAGCAGCCATGGAAATTGTGCAGGAAACGGAGGCTTTGAACTTTCTAGCTGTTGACAGTAAAGAAGCCCTGGTGTCACCTGTAAAACATAAGGACAATTTGGTTGCCACATTAGGAAAAGCTGTCAATGGGAGTTTATTTCTTTTTTTGGGGGGGTGGGGAGTTTATTTCTAAACACGCTGTGGTACGAAAGATTTTCTGTCATAACGTCACTTTCTTGATTCTTCTTGAAAAAAAAAAAACCAAAAACAAAAACAAAAAAAAAAACCTTATTCCATTTTTCCTGAGGGCATTCGGAGCAAAAAAAAAAAAAAACCCTCTTGATTCTACTTGAAAAAAGGCTAAAAGTTTTATATTTACCAGACTTTAATGGTCCCCAATTTATAGGCTACTAATAAGATTCCTCATTTTAATATGTTGTCATTTAGTCTGAAATTTTAGTTTTAATAAAGCATAATGAGCATAGCTAAGTTAAGTCCTATAATAAATTTTACTTTGAAAGAGTTCTTATAGCTAAGAGAGTCTAGAAATTGTAGCTAAGGAAAGCTGGATTTTCATCTATCACTAGCTGGGATGAGAGAGGAATGCTATCTGAACAACATTCCTGATGAGGAAATTTACAGGGGTCGGTACAAGTACCTTTATTGGAGAACGCTTCCTGGTCACTGTTTCTTATGATTCTAGGTGGAGGCTTTGGAATTGGCGATGGGCCCCTTTCAGAGAACCCTTCCATGTGGCTTCCAAACTGTTGACGCCTCAGTTTACTGTCAACCTGCAGCTTTTCTAGTGCAGTCTTGAGACACTGCCCACTGGTCGTCATATATAATTTACAAAACTACAGGAAACAAAAAAGGAGTCGAGTGGGCAAAACATTCAATCATGCATTTGGGAGAAGGCAAATGCGAGTGAGTAGAGGAGGGACAGACTGAGAGATGGAATATATTGCTTGTTGAACTGGGTTACTCGCTTTATTTTCCTGACTCAGGCTGACCAGCCTCGAGTGACCTGGTGAAAAGCAGCCATGATTCAATGAGGAGGTCATACTCTGAGTGAAAATAAAATGTTACACAAGGAGCAGTGATTTATTTTTTTTTACAAGATGGTCTGACTTGAGTTTGTTCTAAATGATTTTTATTCTTTCACCCTGAAAAAGGTACTTTTCTGAGGAGAATCTCTGTATTGCTTGTGTGTCTGTGTGCACACATACATGCATTTTAACTTGGTTACACAGGCTGAATGCTCCTACCTGAAATGGTGGGCCCAGAAGTGTTCTGGATTTCTATCTTAGACTTGGGGTATCTATACACCCATGGTGAATGTCTGATGTATCTATACACCCACGGTTCCACCTTGGGGGAACCCCAGCCCAACACAAACTTCACCTGGGTTTCATACATTCCCTTACACATCCTTGAAGTTTTAATATAGAACAAAGTTTTTAATACAGAACAAATTTTTTATTTTTTTATATTTAGTACAGGGTTTACAGGGTCTCGCTACGTAGATCAGACTTGTAGTGATCTGCCTGTGTCCAGCCTCCCAAGAGCTGGGATTACAGGCGCGCCACCATGCCCAGTCCCAATCTCCATCTCAGCGTGCCTCAGGGTCAGGACCAGCACAGCAGGCCCAGGATCGAACCCCAGCCGCTGCGTCTGCCTAGCAGGCACTTTAATCTGCTGGGCTATCTGGCTGGCCCTCTGCAGGGCTTTTGTATAGTATTTTTAGTGTGCCTGAATTCTGACAAGAAGCCCCGACAGGAGGTCACAGGGTGGGACTGTCCTTCCATCCCTTTTCTGTCGTTTTGAAGCTCTGAGGATTGAACCCAGAGCTGTCTCCCAGGCCTTTTCTTTTTTCTTTCCTTTCTTTAAATTCTGATTCACTTTTTCTAAATTTCAAGAAGGACAGTGGCTAGGATGGCCGTTTGTGCCACTTCTCCCAGCTCTGGTGTGGAAATCTTCCCTTCTGCCATCATGTCAACAGTCAAAACTCCCGGGTTTTCGGAGGATTTTGGGTATTTGGATTAAAGATGCTTGCGTGATCTGCATTATTTTTAATGTGGTCATCCTACTGCAATTCCGGAACTGAGAACTTCGACTACAACGAATGCATAGCAAGTCTACGTCACTGCCAGTGCTTATTTAAAAAAGTGCTTTAATTGCTAGACCTTTTCAAGAGCAGGCGTGCGGCTCCCAGGACTCATGCCTAATAGAGGGGAAGCCCTGCGTTTCGCTGCTGGGGAAAACAAACTAAAAACTTTTCTAATGGTAAGTAGTTGGATTTAATACTTTTACAATGTATGCACATATCAAAGTATTACATGTGTGCCATAAAAACATATAATCTCAGTTACAGTTTAAGAAAGCTGAGGGATAACTAAGATATAAATAATTTTCCTGAATAATATACAAATTATGTACCTTAATATAGTCAAATTTTCCATCAGCATTTACATCAGGCAAATTTATTATAGTACTGGCTTCTTCCGGAGTCATCTTCTCCCCTCTCTGAAATAAAATGACATGATCACCCGTTATTTATTCATCAGGATAGTGGAAATACATTTTAATCTCTTCTACAAATAGGTTACAACATGTGACTTCATGATAAATCAGAATGTCAAGCAATAATCAGACTGTTAAATAAAAATTCACAATTAATTAAATTTTGTGAAAACGTGCAGTTTCAGTTCACCACGTCTTTTTTTTTTTTTTTTTTGGCAGAACCAGGGAATGAACTCAGGCCCTTGCGCTTGCCAGCGAAGCGCTTATTCCACTGAGCCATCTCCCCAGCCCCTCACCACGTCTTAACAGTTGTATTTTGTGGAATCATAACTGCTACTAAATTAGAGTAATGGTATTTTCAAATTCTGTACCAAGAAACACAGCGGATTTCTCTTGGCATTCCTATTTTCCTTCCCTTTCCCTCCTGTCACATAGGGGCCTGGCCCTGACTGGCAGAGTTCTGGGTGGGAAGGAATGAATGGAGCACAGAGGACTCCAGAGGGGTCTGGACGCAGGTCCACCTGGCAATGGAGTCGATATTTTGAAACAGGGTCCCAATCTGCAGTTCAGGCTGGCCTTGAACTCACGATGTAGCCCAGGCTGGCCTTACAGCAATCCTCCTGTCTCAGGCTCCCGAGTGTTACCATTACTGGCCTGACCCTCCACACCCAGCAATGAAGTAATTATTTTTCAGTGAACTTTTTGAGCCAAACCTAGATTCCAAGCTGTTTTGCAAATCTGTACATTGCAAGCATTTCACAGATCTTACCTTTGTTAGAAATCTATAAAGGTCGGTGTGCAAAATACAGCCATCATCATTTACATCTAATTGTTTAAATGATTTTAGCAGTTCTGCTTTTGAAGTAGGCTTTTCCTTCCTTAAAATTACACAGAAATCATCAAAATTCAGTTTGGCAGTTTGAGGAGTCCAGTACTTATTAACAGTCTTCTGGGATGGACTTCTTCCTGCATGCTGAAGAGCTGCCCAACGAAACAGGGGTGCGCTACTGTAACACCCGGAGTTGGCACTGCAGTGCACGTTTATTTTTCAAACTGTCACCTACTACAGTATTAGGAAAACCACATATATAACAACACATTAGCTTTGGTTGATTATCTAGTTATAGCAATTATGTCTGACTTTTAACCACAAACTATATGTGCCACCAGCTAAAGATTCTTGAGTTATTAATGCTCAAATTAAATAAATTTTTCCTTCTCTGACGCTTTGGTTCTCAGCTTACATGCTTTCAGTAGCTGACCATGTCTGACTAAGTGCTTTTAGAGGAACAAAGATTAGAAATACCGTCTAACTGCTCAAGGTAACAGCAATAAACATGCATCATTATTTTTATTGTCCATTTTTTTTGGTCATTTTAAAGATTTGTTTTGACATACTTTAGTACAGGGTCTGCAGGGTCTCACTACAGACTGGACTTGTAGTGAGCCTCCTGCTTTCAGCCTCCCAAGCGCTGGGATTCCAGGCGTGTGCCACCACACCCAGTCTCAATCACTCTCGCAGCATGCCCTGGGGTCAGGGCTGGCACAGCACACCAGGGATCGAACCCCGGCCGCTGCCCTCTGCCTGCACAGGTGCTTTAGTCCCCTGAGCTCTCTGGCTGGCCCTTTTTTGTCTTTTTGAGACAGGGTCTCACTCTGCAGTCCATGCTGGCCTTGAACTCACTTTTCAGTGACCTCCAAAGCACAGCCTCCTGCCTCCTGCCTCAGCTTCCAGAGTGCTAGAATAGCAGGTGTGCACCACCACACTTGCTCAACAAATATTTTAGTGAAGTGAATAAATCATTCTAACATCACCAAGGACTTGATACCCATCATATTCATCACGGCTAGGTCGGTTTGGTCCTATTTCCCATGCCTCACAGATCTGCTTGCAGTTAAGGCCCTGCTAAAAATCTAGAACACGGACATATTTTGACAGACAACTATTAGAGATGCAGTGGTTAAAATACTTTTGAAATAATTGCAATATGAGAAAGGCTCTGGGCTGGTAAGATGGCTCAGTGGTCTAAAGCACCTACTTAGAACAAGTTTAGCAAAGCACAGGGACCGCGGTTCAATCCCCCAGCACCACATGCCAGCCAGCCCCGCCCCCTGGTGGGCTGAGCTGGCCACACACACACACACACACACATAAATAAATAAATAAAATTATAAAAAAAAAGAAAGGCTCTGTAATTTGCATACTTCATATCATACTTCAATGTAATATTTCAAACCATTTTACATAAATATTTACATATTGTACCTTTGTACAGTTAAGTATATGTACCTTGGTAATTTGCAAATAAACTTCTGCATATTCAGACACAACTATACATAAAATGAATTACTGATTAATCCCCTAAGCACCTCGAAGGATTAACAGAAAGTTGAGTTGTATTTTGCCAAAATATACACGTATATTTCTTTAGCTACCAATTTCAACAATAAAACTTTATATGGAGCCAATTACCTTAGATGGGAATGCACGAGGGCTGTACACAGTGAACCAACACCAAAAATGATAATCTGACTATTGTAAAATTTCATGTAATAAGGACCAATAAATATGAAACAATTTAAAGAAATATCCTCAAGCAAAGAGATAAGGGCTGGGGAGATAGCTCAGCAGCATAAGCACCCGCTTGGCAAATGCAAGGTCCTGAGTTTGATTCCAATTGAGTTTTTTTTTTTTTTTTTTTCAGAACCGGGGATTGAACTTAGGCCCTTACACTTGCCATGGAAGCGCTTATTCCACTGAGCCATCTCCCTGGCCCCTCAATTGAGTTTTGTACCAACAAAACAAAAAAAGAAAATACAGATGAGTCAGTCGTAGTGAATATGTATTGTATCTGGGCATACACACAGTGATTTTTTTTTTTTTTTTTTTAGTCTTACTACGCATCTGGGTCTTGTATTAAGCCTCCCCAGCGCTGGGAATACAGGCATGTGCCACCACACCGGGTCTCTATGGCTGGCTCAGAGTGCCCAGGGGAGGGGCTGGCTCGGCATGTGTCGCCAAGGATCGAACCTTGGTCCCTGTGCTTGACTGCTCCACTGAGCTATCTCACTGGTCCTCATATGGCAATTTTTTTCAGAGAGAAAAACTTTTCAGTGACAAAGAAGTTCTGTAACACAGTCTACATCTTAAGTGTAAGATTACTACCTGTGGTCATGACCTATGGTCAATGATGTTTTCTTTATTGGTTTTGTTTTTTTTGAAACAAGTCTTGCTATATAGCTCAAGTTTGCCTTGAACTCATTATGTAGCCCAGGCTGGCCTTGAACTCAGGGCAATCTCCCTGCCTCAGCCTCGCAGCTGAGTTTATACAGGTGCACCACCATACCCAGCTGTTATTTTAGAAGAGAAATTTTCTGATTCTCCAAATTATGCATGACATCATAACTACTTAATTTAAATTCTGGCACAAAGCAGCAAGAAAATAATCTAGAGGCAAACTTCAGAGCTAACAGATGTTGTAAATGTAGTAGTCACTATGTTCCTTGTACATGACTGGAAACCCGTAGGGTTGGAGATAACAGAACTTTCATCTCCACAGGTTTATTTTGGTTGTAGACAAAATCCCTGATTCCCCTGGTGACCTAATAACAAAAGTAAGTATGGCACAGCATGTGATCGGAGAATTACAATCAGAGAAATGGCACGCGTGTGTTAGGGCTATGTACCCAGCCAGCCCCCCTGGTATGTATGCTAGGAACAGAAGCACACCCTAAGTGAAGTTATAATATGAAAGTCAAGGCTGGCCAAATAGCTCAGTGGATTAAAGCACCTGCAAGCAGGTGCAGGGTTTGGGGGTTCAATCTCTGGGCCTGCTGTGCCAGCCCCGCCCCGGGGCACACTGAGATGGCAATTGAGACTGGGCGTGGTGGTGCACGCCTGTAATCTCAGCTCTTGGGAGGCTGTAAACAGGCAGATCACTATGAGTCTGATCTAGTAGTTTGACCCAAAACACCCTGTAGACTCTTCCCTAAAATTAAAAAAAAAGAAAAAGAAAAAGAAAGAAAGAAAAGAAAGTCAAAATATCGACAGGAAAGGAAGTGGTATTTTCTATCCAGCATTGGGAAAACAGGTGCACGACCACTTTTCTCATGGTGGCAGCTCAGGGTACACCCGGTGCTCTCTTCAGTGACAATAAAAATTACACCAAATACGTACTCAGTATGTAGATAGCTCCATGTTTAAGAAAATGATATAATCTGATTATTACTAACTTTAATCGCTAGGTTCAGAATCAGTTCACTACTAAGTCTGATGATAGTGAACATGTTACATAACTGTAGATACTCAAAGGCTGACACTAAGATACTGATCTTTCACCAACATGTACTTTAAACTTTAACATCAGCCTCTAATAGCTATATTATTTGTGAATTTTTTTTAAAGGAGGAAGGTGTTTTAAATGCTTTTATTTTTTAAATTTTATTTATTTGTGTGTGTGTGTGTGTGTGTGTGTGTGGCCAGCTCAGCCCACCAGGGGGCGGGGTGGCTGGCATGTGGTGCTGGGGGATTGAACCGCAGTCCCTGTGCTTTGCCAAGCTTGTTCCAAGTAGGTGCTTTAGACCACTGAGCCATCTCGCCAGCCCTTATTTGTGAATTTTTAAAAAATCTGTAAAGCTGTAGTGCCTAAATGTCAGAAGGCCATCAGTGAGAGAGACCTCACTGATTCACATTACTCCTTTTTAAGAACTAGATTATCTGAAAGCAATTACTATAATGCCAAGAAGGAATATTTCAGTATAGAACCTAAAGAATATACAATACAGAAAAGACCAACACTGCAGCACTGCTATCTTTGCAGATATTTCTAAGGGCGTCAACACCTTATTAACACAGACATACTGATTCCACCAACTGAACGCTAGAGCGGTGGAGGGCGTGGGAAGCTTTTAAATGCAGCAGATTCATTATCTCAGGCTATTTCAAAAGAGGAAAGAAAAAACGCTAGGAATAGCAGCAAACTATAATTCTAATTAATTGGATTCTCCCTATAACAATTAATAATCACTAATATTTAAATTTCAAAATGAGACATTTATTAGTTTTAAAATTGCGGAGGCCTGGGGTACAGCTCATGGTGCAGGGCTTCCCTAGGATGTGCAAGACCTTGGCGTGACGCCCAGTGCTGCAAACACAACAAAACCACACGCAAACCAAAGGGAAGCGAAACACAGTTTCACAAATTGTTTCAAGTCATTTGTGTTTAAACCACTTAAAAATGCCTTGTACGATGTCTATCAAATAATTCTAATCTTTTCAATGCTCTTCTTCCCCAAAATGGATTTCCTCAGAGACCTAAACTGCATTCACATCCAAAGTCTCGCTACAGAGTAAGTTAGTTTTTGTTTAGGGAAGCTACTCCTAAAGCTGGCAAAATGACTTGTTTCTCTGCCCCTAAAGTGACCTTCATGACACTGACATGAACAGACCATGCTATCAGTACCGTCACTCTCCCTGGTGACCAAGGACCCACAGTATCTGCCCTCCCAGCAGGGAACAAGTTCAGTGATTTGGAGACATTTACAACCAAAAGAATTTGGAAATATAGTGGAGAGAAGCAGTAAGACAGTAAGACAGACAGACAGACAGACAGACAGACACACACACACACACACACCCCAGAACCTTTCTTCCTTTTTTTTTTTTTTTTAATTTGGTACAGGGTCTCCCTATGCAGCCGAGACTCATAGCGATCCTCCTGTTTTCAGCCTCCCCAGCACTGGGATTACAAGCAGGGGTGCACCACCACGCCCAGACTCGGCAGCTGGCTCAGTGTGCCTAGGGGTGGGGCCAGCACTGCATGTGGTGCCAGGTATTGAACCCTGGTCTCTGCGCTTGCCTAAGCAGGTGCTTAGTCTGCCTAGCTGTCTTGCTAGCCCTTAAAGAGTATTTTTAACAATTAGTAAATTGAAGAAAGCTTTAAATACACCCATCTAGACTGAACAAGTACTGAAAACTTTATTTTGAAGTTCCTAGAACATATAACTGTATAAAACAGCGCACTAGCTTATAGCTATTGCTAAGCATAACTATGAAACTAGGATTATTCAACAAGCATTTTACTTCCAATCCTTCAACAAAAAAAGCAAAATATTTAAGCTTAAAAATTACCTAGGCAAAGTTGATCTTTAGAAATAATGTTTTCTAAGCTGCTTTTGAAGACAGTTAAGTAGGCAGCTCTACAATTCATGTAAAAAACCTCCTCTTCAGATAGTGGAAGTTTCTTTGTTCGAAGGTTCTCTGAAGGCACTGATTTCTGATTGGCCAAAGTGACATCACTTCCTGGATTGGTGGCCATTCTATTAGAAAATAGTTAAAGAGATTTGATTTAGTCTCTGTTAATCACATAAAATGCAAACAGCACTACACATTTCAAATGACATAGGAAGGAAGACCACGAAAACCAGAAGACTTCATAGGGTCAGCAGGAGGAAATCAGTTAACACAGTATATGTGAAGCACACCGGCACTACCTGACATATCGTAAGTGCACAATAAACTGTGCAGATGGGAAAGTTCATGATAACGAGACCTCTTACATAAATGAACTGGCAGGCGGCACCATCCTCCATGGCAGGATCAACCAAAGTATTTCACTAATTTCTGGATTTAGTATTTCACATAACTGAACTTTTAAGATTCCATTTATAGGATTACTACTGTGGAACCTGAAAGAGTAAATAAAATCTGAAAGGTGTGCTATATATAGTAAAAATAAAAGAAACTGCTCCAAAGGAATGCAGAACTGGGATGAGGGAAAGGAGAAAAGATAAAAAAGGAAGGGGAAAAAGCCATGAATGTATATACACAGGATAGCTAAGATGATTGTACTACTAATTTCTATTACTTTTTTGAAGGAACCAGTTAATACTTAAAATTTTTGTTTTGACCAATTTTACATGCTTCTATCTGGTAATCTGAGCAGCTACATTGAGGATAACAATGAGCAACACATCAACCATTGCTGAATTCTTATCGTCTGGGGAGTTTTTGGACATTGTGTATCATTTCTAATGTCTTATCTCTTACTTTTCATTGCTTAAAATAAAAATTTAAAAAGGATTGCCATTGTGGTTTTACTGTGTTCTGATTTTGGGTTTACACAGCACGTTTGCTCCTAAGGGTTTAACAAACCATCCTACATCTTGTTTTACCCCTACTACAGCGGTCAGGTGCCTTTTGTCCATTTTACAGATGAACCGATTGAGAGACAAAGACGTCACCTAGCTGGCAAAAAGGCACGGAGAGGCCGAATTTCAGTAACAGTGTCTTTGTTATTGTGGAGGAAGGTTTCGCGAACAATGGCTTCTACGTGGCACTGACTCGTGCTGGTGGTCTAACAGCTCCCCACACTACCGTATCCAGCTTTGGCTGCTAAAAATAATTCCAACCTAATAAGTTGAATATTTCAAGTTCAACAATAAGATGACACAGGTAGGGTCCCCTTCAGGACTCATTGGATTCCTACTCAGGAGCCTAAATCACTGGCACCTTCTTGAATTATATAGGTCTTTTACACTTGGGAAAGAAAGATAATAATCGCTTATCATGGATGAAGTACCCTATTTATAATACACAGGCCGCCTGCCTGACACTTTCATATTACGCCAGATTTCGAAGGACCCCACAGGGATGTGGTGTCACAGTCTACTTACTGCAAATTGGAATCACTATAATTAACATCACCGTTTTAAACACATATGCCTGCGCATACCGCCTCGCCAAGGAGGGGGAGACCCTACCGCACTGCGGGAGGAGGAGTGTTCCCTCCGCAACACGCAACTTCAACATCGGAATGCTGGTACATCTTCAAAGACTTCCCAAACGGGTGACTCTCTCGCGTGAAAATCCCACGGCGGAAATGTTCCAAAATTCGAGCTTTCCCTTACTAGGAAGAAGGACGAGAAAGAAGCTTAAATAAAAACAGAAGTGCACCTCTCGCTCGGGCTGAGAAACCGCCTTCACGGCCGCAGGGGACCCCGGGCCGCGACCCCGGGCGGGAAGAGCATTTCGGCGCGGCGCGGCGCGCAGCGGGGCGGGGCGGGCTCTGGCTGCGGGAAGGAGAAGCCGCGCGGGGAGAGGCAGCCGCCGGGGGGTCGGGGCACGCGGGGAGCCCGAGCCGCCTCACCCGGTCGCCGTGCGGACTCGCAGCTCCCCGCGGCCGCGGTCCCGTCGCGCAGCCGGACGACGTCTGCCGGCCTTCAGTTACTATGGCAACCGCGCCTCGCCCCCTCCCCCGGAAGTAAGCTGTGGAGCACCTTCCCAAATGCTCCGACTACAAGCCTAAGGGATCCCGGTTCAGAGCGGACACACATGGCTCTGTGGCCCCTCTGTCCTGGGCTTCTATCGCCAAAATAGTGAAAGAGGGCCATGTGTTGTGTCCGGCAGGGTATGAATGTAGTTCTGGGCCTCGACGCGCTCCACACTCCTGTTCAGACACGTGTGCTCGGCCCCTCCGTCGCCGGGAGCGTGTTTCTCGCGGGCTGCGTTGAGTGTGACGCGGCGTCCTGGCCCGTGCGCTTCCGGTGTCGGAGACCTCCGGGGCTGCTGCTGCGGCTGTGAGAAGAGGCGCGTCAGTTCCCTTTCTCAGCAGCGGTGGCATCTTGCGAACCCCGAAATGCCGTAGGTATCTTTCCCCCGTGCAGTGCCGTTTTGAGGGCCCCTCTGTGAGCAAGAAGAGCACCTAGGAGTCGGTCCTAAAGCCTTTGAAGTTTTCCCGGGTTTTTTGAGGTTAGGCTCCACCCACCTCTCCTACGCTGCCCAGTCGCGGTCGCCCGTAATTTTTATTTTTCTAATTTGCTCTGAGCGTTATTTTCGTATTTAAAAAAATTTTGTCCGGAGTTGCCATCTAACCCCAATGACCCAATCGTTGCGATTTACCCTGATGGGATGGACATTTTACTAGATATTTAGTCTTCCCTTTCATCATGCATCTGAGATGGAGACAAATGAAACACAGGTGGCTGCTCTGTAGAAACTTTGAAAAGTCGCGATGGTGAAATGGGGGATACCCGACCCTTGTAGTTCGCCGGCTGCATCTCTTCCCCAGGTCGACTTAGGTCCTGCCCTCTGGAGTAACCCTCTTTCAGTCTTTTCAGCGTTGAGTAAATGCAAAGTAAAACGGGAAATACGTGTATTAAATAGGAATTAACGTGAAAGTGAACCGATATGCAAAAATGATAACCAATATTTGAATCTTTATGATCGGAGGTATTGTCTTTAGCAGTTTATCTACATTTTCTCATTGAATCATAAAACAGGACATTAAGAGAAAGATGCTTTTGTTATCTTTATGTCTGTGAGAACCGGGCACCTAATATGGTGTCTTACGCGTAGATACCAATAAATTCATGTTTTGGGCTGGGGCGATAGCTCAGTGGAATAAGTGCTTGCCTGGCAAGCACAGGCTCCTCAGTTCAGTCGCTGGTACCGAAAAAAAGAAAAAAGAAAATGCATATTTTACTTTTACCTTTAAAAGATATAAATTATTGAGGTTTTCCATTCCCCAGAATTAACCAAAATGTCTCCTTTCCCTGTTGTTACATGAGAAAAACTTATTGGGCTGTCACATATACAAAGATGCAAAGGTAACGTAACAAAAAAATTCTCTAATCAAATATAACAAAACCAAACTAGTTTGTATTTGCTTAACAAATGGTAATAGTTCCTAAGTTGTGTCTCTGTTCTGTAATAGAACTCGAGACCCAAAAACTATTAAAAGTAAAACTTCCTCGATCCTCGGTACCACATGCCGCCCAGCCCTGGCCTCATCCCTGGGCTTGCTGAGCTGATACCGAGACCAGGCGTGGGGTGCACGCCTGTAATCCCACCACTGAGGAGGCTAAAAACAGGATCACTACGGGTCCAAGCTGCATAGTGAGACCGTGTTCCAAATACATAAAACAAAAAAAGGTGAAACTTCCTGACAACTATATTAACCTGTCAGTAAGTGCCTATTAGGAGAATTTGAGTCAAATATATTCAGACAAATGCATGGTATTAAAGATGACATCTCACATATACTATATAGCAGTTTTGCTAAGTTAATGTTTGCAAAGTGATTGAAAAGCAGTTAAGAGCTTAATAGTACATGAAGCATAATAGCATTTTAACAGATATCCATTATGATTAGTACTTTTTGTTTTTAAATATACTAAGTCGTGAGATCATAAGGCGATTGCATAGTAGTTATCAGGAGCGGTGTGATGCGGAGACCACCGACACCACCAGGCTTGTGCACAGGCAGCGTGGTATGGAATTTATTGTGCCTGGGTGTAGGCAGGCAGAGAGTGAAGACACCACCAGCAGAGAGCAAAGAGAGGTGGGGTTTTTGTAAAACAAGGCTTGAAAGAAGGCCCGAGACACTAGACAGGAAAAGCTTAGTAAACAGTGTCAAAGTTCTCTGGATATCTTTTTCTTTCTTTCTTTCTTTCTTTTTTTTTTTTTTTCTGGTACTGGGGATTGAACTCAGGCCCTTGTGCTTGCCAGGCAAGTGCTTATTCTACTGAGCCATCTCCCGGCCCTCTCTGGATAGCTTGTTCTCAGTGGGTAAAGTCCTGGAGATGTCCAGTGGAAGTGTTTGGGTGTCTTCAGATGTATGGTGTTCGGATTCTGTGCTCCGTCTTAACGTTTTTCCAGCATCCTGTGTTGACCGAGACCCTGGTGCCCAGCTGAGAACAATGTCTCTGCCGGCAGACTAGTTGGGAACTGGGAACTTGATTCTTAAGTTCTCTAAAAGCAGTTTCCTCCACCTTCCATTTTGTGCTTTGGATGCTGTCCTAGAGCGGGGGAAATAAGCAAATTAGATCATGGTTGCTCCTGGTCTCTTAGGGTCAGTCTTTGCTTGAAAACGGACTCCTCTTTCTGTGTCCGCTATGCACTAGAGTGTCGCTGCTCTTCCCAGGCTGAAGCTGCGGCTTGTTTTCTGATTGGAAGTGGTAAAACCATGTGACTTAGGCATATGGCAAAGGAAGACTTGATTCTTGGTTCTGTCAAGCACCTGTATGGTCCCGATTTGTATTTTCTTAATAATGAAATCATGTACAACAGTGTATGTGAATATCCCTTTCTAGTCCTTTTTTTCCTCCCATGCTTTCTTGTATAAAGCTTTCTGGTACCATTCGCCACATCGTTCTAGTTAATGTCCGTTAGCATTCTAGTTCAGCCAAGCACCCTGGATTTCTGTAGGAATTAACTTTATTCTGTTCTAAACTATCACTGAACTATAAAGTTAGAATACTGGAATAGCTTTAGTGATGGAACAAACTATTTGAAACACTGTTTCTCAGAGTGGACTCCATTCTGCTAGTATGTTTATAAGAGTCTGAGAGTGGGCTGGCCAGATAGTTCAGTGAACTAAAAGCGCAGGGATGAGGGTTCCATCCCGGCGTGCTGTGCTGGCCCTGCCCTGCCTCTGAGGTGAGGGCAGCTGAGACTGGGTGTGGTGGTGCGCCTGTAATCCCAGTGCTTGGGAGGCTGAAAACAGGAGGATCACTATGAGTCTGAGCTGTGTAGTGAGACCTTGTAGACACTGTACTAAGTATATAAAATAAAAATTAAAAAAATAAAGAATTCTAATCCTTAAAAAAAAAAAGAGCTTTTAGACAGGAATTTTAAAAGCTGCCCTTTTTTTCCATGATAAAAATGAAAATGGGACCAGAGAGATAGCTCAGCAGACTAAGCACCTGCTTAGGCAAGCTCAGGGACTGGGTTCCATCCCCAGCACCGTATGCTGCACAGGCCCACCGCGTCTGTGCGCAGTGCTGCACACCTATAATCCCACTGCTGGGGAGGCTGAGACAGGATCACCATGAGTCCGAGCTGTGTATAAGACCTTCACTAACTACATTAAAAGGAAAATGATACCAAGCATATTGTGGGTCTGCTGACCTATTATTATTTTATTTTACCTATGCTGGTGCCAATAGCAAGTGCAATGATCTTTATTTTGTGGGTTGATTATGAAGAAACAGAGGTCAGTGAAATGATGTGTCAGGCCCAGTAAGGCTAGCCACTTAATAAATGTCTCTAAATTGTGGCAGATACTCTTATTCTTTTACTTAAACGTGTTGTGCATTTTTTAGAAGGTTAACGTTCTTAGTTCTATGAGAAATAAAAAATTTAAATATAATTCCTGCTTATAAAAGTAACATGCAATAAAGTACAATATTCCTTTTCATAATTGCATAAGAAACTCCCCTAGTGTACAGACTGGGAATCTTTGAAAGTTTTCATTCAAAACAACCAGATTCTCTGTAAGTCACATTTCCTGTTGCACTGGGAGAGTCAGAGCAAATTAAATGTCAAGGGATAAACAAAAAGTCGTGACCTGAAATCGGACTCTAAGGAGTAAGTGCAGGTAAAAGGAGGGATTTTTTAAAATATATGCACACACACACAGAAACATGTACTCTTGTTGCACAGGACTGGCTGCTAGAGGCAGAGGGAGGGAATTAACATGTGACCCTTCGCAGTTAAGCTAGGACAGTGGGTGAACGGCTGCCTTTGCGTGCGCCCCTTAAGGATGGTCGCTGCAGGTTAGGCCCCCAGTTTTTCCTTAGTTAAAATCACCAGGGGCTGGGCGTGTAGCTCAGTGGCACGCACCGCCTGGCAAGCACGAGCCCTGAGTTTGATTCTGGCACGAAAAATAAACAAAATCACCAAAAGATCACAGAATCAAAGGTAACCAGTCACATTAGGGGCCAGGAAGATAGCTCAATAGAATAAGCTCTTGCTTGGTAAGCACAAGGGCCTGAGTTCAATACCCGGTTCCACCAAAAAAAAAAAAAAAAAAAAAGATAACCAGCCACAAAAGGTAGCTATTACAAGTGAAAGTTGTAACACATACTAAACAAGAGGTTTAGATTCCAAGGTTTTTTCAGAATGACTTTGTAAGGAATACATATGAAATAATTGTACTATATTTAAAGAAACAAAAGATAAAAAGAAAGAACTTGAGTCAGAAATATTAAAGTATAAAAAATGTTTATTCATTTATTCTTACAGCATTGAGAATTCAACCCACAGCCTCCCCCCCCCCCACTGAGCTACATGGCCACCCCCTTTTATTTTGTTTTTTTTTTTTTTTTTATTTTTTTGCAGAACTGGGGATTGAACTCAGATCCTTGCATGTGCCAGTCAGGCGCTTATCCTACTGAGCCGTCTCCCCAGCCCCACCCCCTTTTATTTTTACTT